CTTGAGAGCCTTCTTGGTGTTGTAGGGCCTGCTGTTCAATCTCCTAGACGCTCCTCACAATTCAGTTAGGAGAGTTTCAGTGGTTCGGTGAGAAGTGGTTACATTTGAACCTATATGATTTATAATTCAAGTCCTTCTTGACAATGTGCCCGACTGTCTTCCTGATGGGACCCATTTTTCTGGCGGTTTTCCTTATATTTTTGCTAGGGTGCTCCTTGACAATATAGGCAACGTCGGCGACAAATTCGCGCATCCTGGTGGCACCAGTGCCCTTCTTATGAGTCTTCACTTCTGGTCTGAAATTTTCCTTGTCACCTGAGGCCCCAAATGCCTTTGCATGGTTTTAGAGTATTTAAAACATTCAATGATTTCCTGGCCGGTGCGTAGCCTATCTGCAGCAGCAACTCGACTATTCTATTCCGAAGATACATCGATTACAAAGCAACTCGTGCGCCAATCACCAGACACCTACTGAGGCTTAACACTTTGTAATGGCGCTCTTGAAATCTCGCTACGCTGCGAAGTTACGGCGCTGTTGTCACGTCAATATATCTAAAATGAATGTTTATATTCCATTACATTCAAAGTTCGATTCCTGCCTAAATTTAGGCAAATAACATATGGATTTATTCCTGCATATTTTATAAGAATTTTATCCATGTTTTATGAAAAATAGCCAATCTGAGTAAAAATGAAAGCAAGCTGTATAAAAATACTGAGCAAATTGCAGCAATTTTATATTGCTCGTATGCTTTATAAGAAACCGGTATTTGTGTAACTGATAATCACTCTCTTGGCCACATAAGGTTTATAATTGAAGACCTCCTTAAGAATACACCAGATGGTACGCTTGCTGCTGCTCATTTCCTTGGTGAACATCCTTTTGCTAGAGTTCTCGTTGACAACATTGGCAACATCGGTGATAAATCGGGCTTCTTAGTTGAGCGAGAGTGCTTCTTATGTGTCACATTCTTGCCTGAATTTGTTCTTGTCGTCAGAGGACTCATATGACTTTGCAAGAACGATGACCATGTTTCTATGGTATTTAAATCATTCAATGATTTTCTTGGCTTTGGGCTCTGCGTGTAGTTTCTCCACAAAAGCAGCTCGATGATCGTATTCTGAAGATACATCGATTACAAAGCCCGTCATGCGTCAATGGTCATACAGCTAGTAAGGCTTATCACTTTGTAATGGCGCTCTTGAAATCTCGCTACGCTGTGACGTCAAGGCGCTGTTGTCACGTGTAGATTTCTGCTTTTTATCCTCGTCAATTTAAGCATAGTATAACCTGGAAAAGAGATTTATTCTTGGTAGGAAATACTGTTACAGTAACATCTTTAAGTATGAGGGATAAAGATAGCATAGATACGATTCTTTCCGTTTGAGTGGGGAAATCTCAATCATTGCAAATTTTAAAGCATGTCGAGTAACAAACCTACAATAGTAGTATTTGTATATGTTCTTCCACTGCAATTTATTTAGAACCTTGTATATCGAAAAGTGATATGCGGATCGATTACCGGCACAGAAATTCGAATCGGGGAGCGGGGTTCAATTTTCAACTAAGACTGTGTTGCGATCAATTTCGCATAAATACCCTTGGGAAAGGCATGAAACATACTCGTCTATTTGATATATAACTATCTTGAATTAAAGTGTAGAAGGGAACAGGGAAATACACCACTATCTTTCCAAAAAGACATGTTAATTTATAGATAATATAAACATTAAGTGTGAGAAGAGCCATGATCGTCTTCATCCTGACAGAAAATGATATTAAATTATAAACAGAACCACAGTATTACCTCACCACATGGTAACTGACTCCTTTAAAAGAAGAAATAGCAATTGTCTCTAAGACTACCTTGGTGGCAGGAATTATTGCTCAACTGTCTGCAGTAAATCTATATGTGCCACGGTGTTCGGAAAATAATGTCTGATTTTAGAATAAACATTTTGTGTTCTAATATATTATAATAGCTGCACAAAAATATATTACTCATTCCTAACGATTGAAGTTTTCTCTTTATTAATTTTATATCAATCACTTTCAGAATTTTATATTAAAGCATTATATACTCATCTGGAACATGAAAAAAAAGAAATACTTCTCAAACTGCTGTCAAAGATAACAGGGCATACTGTGAAGGATCTACTTGTAAACGGGCAGTAGGCGCCGGTTTCTGATAGATGGCATAGGAGTCTTTAAGATCAAGGAAGTAGAAGGCTTTCATATGTAAGTGACAATCAACATCGGTAAACTATATTTGAACAAAAAAAGAATCATGATAATGCATTTCCACAATATCGGGCCTCCTAAAGAAAATTGTCAAAATGAAGAAACTCGATAAATGCCTTACATATGAGCTCAGTGAAAGGCAAAGAGTCCGACGTTTTCAAGTGTGTTCGATGCTACATATCTGAAATTCGAATATCCGATTTCTTGATCGAATAGTAAATTGTGATGAGAAATGGATCCTTTATGACAGTTGAAAACCGTCGATTCAAGGAGTTGATCATGACAAGGCCCGCAAACACTTTCCCAAACCGAAATTCCACAAGTGCTCGGTAAACATTTGCTTCAGGGTCGTCTGCCGGAATAATTACTGTTCCTGTAGGATCGCTTGCGGAACAGAAATTTGTTATGATGCAAGCAAATAAGATCACTAATGAGGCGATCCTGCGCATTCGTTGGGGTGCATCATAAAAAACAAATTACAGGGAAAGGAATTTGCGGTTAGCCATTATCGCTTATTAGGTGCTGAAGGGATACAGAATTTTAAAATATCTCGAAAAAGAATTTATATTGTAAAACTCTCATCAGAAAATTTTACTTTTCAGTAAAACTCTCATCAGAAAATTTTACTTTTCAGTAAATATCGTATTCTATTTGAGATATGTCACACGCCTTTACTATGTAACGAAAACATTAAAATTACAAAGAATACAATATTCACACATGTATATATTTAATCATTTTTGGATATTTTTAGAAGTCAATACTATTCAAGTTAGATTTTATAGACAACTTACATGTTACGTTTGGGATATTGTGGCTCCCAGCATTGAAGGTTTCTTTTAAATAGATTTTGTTGTTTATCATTTTACTCGGATTATTAATGTCATTGTGTAGTAAGATAAATGAATCCATTGTATATTTAAATCAATACTTGCACCTGCGAATATTTCTCATTAACAGCATAATTTATGTAATTATATTGATAATTGGAAATATTTTTCTGTCTCATGCCGGATATATATATATATATATATATATATATATATATATATATAGAAAGAGATGAAACAGATTTAGAATCCACAGTTCTTTAGCATTTGCTTTTTAAAAAAGTGCTCAATACAACGTAGAGCATGATATATATATATATATATATATATATATATATATATATATATATATATATATATATATATGTGTGTGTGTGTGTGTGGGCGCGCATGTGTGTAGGTGTAGAGATAGAGAGAGGGAGAGAGATTGAGTCTGCGCTCATATAGGTCACAAAAGAGCTAAATTGACCAACCTTTAACTGAAAATAGTCAACTGTTTATAAATGAAATAGGGTTAATGCAATATTAACTGTAATATTAATTAATATTAACATAACATCTTCTAATCCGAAACAAAAAAAGGATTAAAAAAAAAAAGTCTTTTCTTATTTTATTATTTTTTCTGTCAAATATTTTTTTCTGTATTATTTTCCCAATTACTTTTGAGCCGCATCACTATATATATATATATATATATATATATATATATATATATTCATATATATCTGTGTACCTATATATATACACACACATATATATATATATATATATACATATATATATATATATATACATACATATATATATATATATATATATATATATATACATACATATATATATACATACATACATATATATATATATATATATATATATATATATATATATATATATATATATATATATACATACATACATATATATATATATATATATATATATATATATATATATATATATATATATATATATATATATAAAAGTGGTTTTCAGAAAGCAGTGAACAATCTATGTTCAAATGCTGAAAAACGCACTGAAATCTTCTGAATCGGAAGAACTTAAACTTTATCTATCTATCTATCTATCTATCTATCTATCTATCTATCTATCTATCTATCTATCTGTTTCATTTTATCTGTCTATCTATGTATCTATCTGTTTCATTCTATCTTTCTGTCTGTTTCATTCCATCTATCTTTCTACAGCAGTGTAAATACGTATCTATAAATACGAATCTCTCTTCCAATCTCTCTCAATCTCCCAAAATAAAATATATATATATATATATATATATATATATATATATATATATATATATATATATATAGAGAGAGAGAGAGAAGGAAAGAAAGAGCATGACCCTTCATCTATGAAGTTAGACATGTCATGCACAGGGCCGGCATACGCTCTTCTTCTTTCAGTTTCTTCCTTCCTGCGGTCATATTTATTAACATTTAGGATCTAAAATTTTGTAGTAAAGATATTTTAGCGGGAAGAGAACAAAAAATAAGCACGTTTCTATTTTCCGAGATGAATTTAATGGAAATTTAAGAGCCGAGTTGCATCGAAAAATAAAAAATAAGTTGCTTTTTTTTTTGTTTTTTTTTGGGGGGGGATTAATTCAGAAATTTGAATAAGGAAATGGAAGAATTCATTCATTTAACGATATGATGCTTGGCACCTTATGCATTGCTTTACTTTATGTTTGTTCATGTGTGTGTGCGTGTATACGGTGTGTGTGTATACGGTGTGTGTGTATACGGTGTGTGTCTTTGTGCTCGCGGAGGTGGGTGCGAGGTGGGACGAATTTTGGGGTGAAAGGGAATACGAATAAATATTTTTCATACATAAATGGATTTGAATATGTAAAATTATGCAGATAAGCCCATGTCACTCAGATACTTAGATGGCGGATATATAGTTTCTGTACATTTTACATTAATCGATTTACACATATATTTTTGTTATTGTATTTACAACGAACTGCTGAAAAGTTGACGGTTCGTTTAAAAGTTCTGGAGTGGCAGGTGTTGGCCGTGTGTATCTATGGTCTACTATGATTTCCCTGCTGTGTATATTTTTATGATTTGTAACTTGCTTACGTTGCAGCTAGCGCTACGTCTTAGAGAAATTATGTTGAATATTTTTAGTAGTTTGTACAAATTTCGGTAATGTTTGTCGGTGTTATTTTTTAATATTTTACCTATATTTTTTAAATAGTTTTTTTTATTAAATGTTTGGAATTGTGGTTTAGTTAGATGCGAATGTAAGTTTTTCTGAAATCCCACAGTCTATTAGTAATATTTCATATTCATTTTTGGTTTTGTTGAAAACCTTTGTTTGACAAGGTGTTGGATAATCTCCGGCTGTTAGAAATTGGAATTGGTTTGACTATGCTGACTAGGTAGATGGAGGGTGTGCACAAGTATTATTTTTTTAGGCTTGGTCAACTAATCAGGCGATACATACTTTTGTAGGAGTTTAAAGTTATATCTAAGGAGTATACTTCTTTTAGGTTTGTTTTACAATCGATTTCAAACAATTCTTTAAATAAATCTTTAATTTATTCTTTGATTTAAAATCTTACAAAAGAAAAGAAAAGCGAAAATACATCAAATGATAACATACAAAATAAGAAAAAAAAACACGCCAGCTTACGAACACATTTAAACACATACAATCTCTGCCTTGAATATGAAATAAAGATAACTTTTGATTCAGAACAGGATTTAATTCCTAAATACCTCTTTTCTAAATACAGAGACGAAGGAAAATTCTACTATGCTATCTACAAATCAAATCATGACTGGAAATAAATACGATCCTATAACCTGAATATAATAAACATCTTTCCAAATAGCAAAAATTAGAAATAAAGAAAATATGAAAAAATAGGATGAAATAAAATCATAAATTTAATAAATATATAAACGGATATTAAAACCTATGGTTATAATCATATATATATATATATATATATATATATATATATATATATATATATATATATATATATATTAGATTATTAATGTAAAATTATGCCTACATCACAAAATCCTCTCTCTATGTCTCTTTGTCTCTCTCTCTCTCACTATATATATATATATATATATATATATATATATCACTGTATGTGTGTGTGTAGTATATAAAATATACAGATATTTAGTATTTTTGTATTGATTGATAATGTTTGCATAATATTAAGTGTTCATTATTTACATTATTCAGACTACTCTCCTCATGTTTGTCGTCAAATTTATCACGACGTTTCGGCCGTTTTACGCGCCTGCCTTCTTACAACAGCCGAAACATTGTGATAAATATGGCGTCAAAGATGGGAACAATAGTCCGAATAATGTAAATAGTATACACGATACCTCATCTCAGAAATATAGACAGATACTAATATTAAGAGTTATAATATTTTTCAAAACAATAAATGAATACATGTTGAAGAGAGGAACTATTTCAATTATGTAAGTACAGACCCATTACATGCCTGCCACTGTTATGGGAAAATTATAAAAGAGCAAATTAAGAATTTCTCATCATTCGTTACTGAGCTTGAGTTTTTTCGTGAAAAGCAGAAATTATACAAACGTAGGAATAGAGTTTGTATTGTTCATTGATCTTAAATTCTGAAACAGATTAAAGTAATAAAGATGAATGCAACAAAAAAATAGACAGATTGCAGATAAAGGATTATGACATGTTTTCTCTACAGTGCATATTGAAATGACTTGATTCTTGAATACGAGATCAAAGAGAAAACTAATAAAATAAAAAATCAAACTGAGCACAAACGTCCAAAAGAAATATATAGAGAAACTGCATTAGGGTTCCTGCACGAGACGAATATTGAAATACTTTTATTTAGGGAACATCTATGCATTTTTATTTCCGAAATATCATATAATCATTTCTCGGAAATTAAATAGCATATATCGATTTACGAATAGACGTAAATAGCCTCAAGTCATATGAATGTTTTGATGTTGGTTTCCAATAAATAAAACTAAGTAGTGGCAACGGTATCATTAATTAAAGCATTCCAATGGATTTGGTTCACGGATCGCATGATGTTTTGACGACAAAAAATATATCGGAATGTAACGTAGGGAATAAAAATAAAAACCATGAAAACATAAGGATACTGAACTATTGTTTTTTTAGACATATGGGAATACTGGAAGACTAAGATAAACAATTAAATCCGAGAAACACTAATAAAATAATATCGGGGAGAAAAAGAAAGAAACAGAATAAAACTAATTAATGGTGTAAAAATATAAATAGAATCTATAGTTATATATCCAGCAACATTCCTAAACTTGAAGAACGAATAAAAACTCAAAACAAGAAACTGATGAAAATGCATTAAAGTATCTTCATCACCAATCTATCGACTTCTTCATCGGGGGCAGAAGTAAAGAGACTGCACTCCAAGCTCTTAACCAAAAGCCGAACACCATGAAATAGTGTGTGGCTCACCCATTGACCGTATACAAGCCCTCAGGTTTGGAATACAGTTGTCCTTCTAGACTGTTTGAAAATAAAGGCTATACGATCCTGTTTGTTCAGTGTTATTTAATCCTAGGTGCTGGTGAGATGGACTAAGTACTTAAGCGAATCTAGTGGGCTCGATTTCGATCACTCTTCTCTGTTTCCTCAATCTGAGACGCTATCATTGACTTCACCGTGCCACCATTATAGCAGACATTCTTGGAAGGATGTCCTTGTGAAAAAGAGAGAGATTCGTAATGGACAGTTGGGAACCTTCGATAAAAGAAGTTATGAAAAACAGAAGTGGAGTAATGATTGTCTAGGGAGAATTTTCTCATGCCAAATATTGGATATCTCAAATTTGAGAAACACATCCGGATAGGAAAGGTGATCCAATGGCAACTGAGTAAACTATTGGAGTTTATTCATGGAAAGCAACAGTATAGGAACGATACGGAAATGCATATCTGGAAAGAAAAGAGAAACCGTTATTTCACATTTAAATTCAAATGGTTTGCACACTCGAAGAATATCTAGATGTATCGAAACAGGAATATTTATCAAACAAAAAAAATCAGTTTTGAAATGATAATCTGGAAAATATTTTCAGCTTCCTTCAGATTGTGAATCATGAAAATTGTGACTTATCTACTTGGTGTAATTGACACGTTTGCATCTCAAACTGAAGGTTTACGGCCATATCACTTGAACCACCAGTTTCCATAGGCTTGCCAAAGTCAAACAATGCCGAGCCTGGGCAGTACCCAGATAGGTCACCCCTTGGCAATACCAGGTACTGTAAGGTTGGAGGTGCAGGTGGTTTAATGTATAATGGCTCGGAATTTTTAATTAGAGAGCTCAGTTCCAATTTCAGTTGAATTTACGCGCAAATACCATTAGAAGAGACATTTACCTACTTCTTCTCTCCCGGTTAAGAGTTAAATAGTATGACTTGTATCACTAAATCATTATTATCTCCCAAAAAATCATACAATCTAGAAAGCTTTTTTGATTTGAAACCGGAAGAGATGAACGATTTACTGGTATCAGATAGATTCCTAAGGAGTGTAGTAAAATACTGAGTACGCCAATTTCAAAATTTGGCGTTCTGCAATTCTTTAATTATTCATTTCTGTGTTTCATTGTCTTTATGTCTTTGTAGATAATCTCCTCAAAATTTTAATGTATGCTTTACTTTCTTTTAATTATTTTTTCACTAAAGACATATTTTTATACATTGTTCTGGGTATTGGATTAAAATAATAAAAGTGTAAAGAAACAATTACGTAATTAATAATAAAATTTAATATACTATACAAATTTAATAAATAAAATACATTTAACATTTTATAACTATTATGATAAGAGTCAATAATAAAAAATATAATTAAAAAATAAGTAAGATATTAAAAATATAAATTCATAATAAATAAAATACCATAAAATTTCATAGATTATTGAGTTACCTCCCACTGTTGTGGCATTTCATTAATATCTCAGTTATTAAATTTTAAAATTAAATTAATGAAAATTTTATAGTATTTTAAATTTTATTAATTTTTCGGAAAGCATTTTCAAATGTGAGGCTATAAAGCTAAAGTAACTAAAATTCAATAAAATATTAGATAATTGCAGAAAATGTCAATTTGTAAAAATTACTAGGTACTTAAAAACAAAAAGCGTCCACCTCGTAAATTTCAACAAGTA